TTCGCTACCTCGTCGACACTGGCGCAGAAGTTAGCGTTCTCCCAGCAAATCATAACGATCGGCTCCACGAATCAACTCTAAACTTACAGGCGGCAAATGGAAAACCGATCTCCACGTATGGCAAAAGGTACGTCTACCTTAACGTGGGTTTACGCAAACCCATTCATTGGATTTTCGTTGTTGCAGATGTTTCTATGCCAATCATTGGTATGGATCTTCTACAACATCATAATCTAATCATCGACACGCGCAAACGGAGGCTAGTAGATGGAAACACTAAATTATCCGTTTGCGTAACTTCTTTTTCTGGTTGTAGATTATCCCCAGTCACAGTTAAGCATTCGATAGACCCACTCTATCAACCACTACTCGACAAGTACCCTGGGATACAACAAGCTCAAACGAAACTACCGTGTGTAACCAGCAATGTTACACATCACATCACGACTACAGGACCACCTGTATTCTCTAAAGCACGACGACTAGCTCCTGAAGAGCTAAGGTTAGCGAAAAACGAATTCGATCACATGATAGACTTAGGAATCATACGACCGTCAAACAGCCCTTATGCATCTCCGTTGCACATGGTACCTAAAAAGGACAGCAACGATTGGCGTCCAACTGGTGACTATCGGCTATTGAATGCAAAAACCATTCCCGATCGTTACCCGTTGCCTCACATTCACGATTTGACAGCTACCTTGAAAGGTACAACTGTCTTTTCGAAAATCGACTTGGTTAAAGCGTATAACCAAATCCCTATGGCTACAAACGACATACCAAAAACAGCTATCATAACTCCTTTCGGACTCTATGAATTTTTGCGAATGCCGTTCGGTTTAAGAAACGCTGCGCAAACTTTCCAAAGATTCATAGACGACATCTTTCGAGGTCTCAACTTCGTACATGCGTATGTTGATGACTGCTTAATCGCAAGTCCGGACAGAGAATCACATCTCAAGCATCTGGATCTTGTTTTCGAACGATTACAAAAACATGGCATTACTGTAAACGTTCAGAAATGCCAATTCGGAACCGATTCGTTAGATTTCCTAGGACACACTATCGATGCTCAAGGCATTCGACCTCTTAGGACCAAAGTGGCGGCCATTCTGGATTACCCAGAACCGACCAACGTCAAGCAATTACGCACGTTTAACGGCCTGGTAAGTTTCTATAGACGCTTCATACCGAAATGCGCATTACTTATGAAACCTCTTACTGACCAACTTCGTGGAAATGCGAAATCCATTAATTTGGACGACACCGCACGAAAAGCATTCTCCACAGTTAAGGAACTGATCGCTAAAGCAACAATGCTCGCACATCAGGACACTGAAGCACCCATTAGTATCGCAGTAGACGCATCCGACTCGGCAATCGGAGGAGTCTTACAACAATGGATTAACAACTCCTGGCAACCCTTGGCATTTTTTTCTAGACGGTTGCTAGACACCGAATCGAGATACAGCACATTCGGTAGGGAACTCCTAGCTATGTATTGTGCTTTACGGCATTTTCAACACTATATCGAAGGCCGCGAATTCACTCTATTCACTGACCATAAACCGCTCACTTTCTCGTTAAGCTCTCCTTCTGACAAGTACTCTCCCCGTGAGTCTCGACAACTGGACTACATTTCGCAGTTTACTTCAGATATTCAACATATTTCTGGAGCAAACAATGTAGTTGCAGACGCCTTGTCTCGAATAAACTCCTTGAACAGTTTCCAAGGAATCGACCTTCTTAAACTCGCCCAGCTTCAAAAAGAAGACACTGATCTTCAGCAAGAGTTATCGTCCACAACCCTTAAACTACGCATCAAACAGATGGGAACAGGTAAGGAAACCTTATTTTGTGACACATCTACAGGTAGAGATCGCCCAATCGTCCCGAAACATTATCGACGCAATGTCTTCAACACATTGCACAAACTTTCTCATCCAGGTGTTCGTGCAACCATCAAGCTCATAGCAGAACGCTTTTGCTGGCCTGGTATGAATAAAGACGTGAGGGAGTGGGCACGCTCCTGTGTAAGCTGCCAAAAATCTAAGGTCATCAGACACAATAAATGTCCCTTAGGCTCATTTAAAACTCCCGATGCTCGTTTCGACCATGTTCATCTGGATTTGGTAGGACCTTTACCAGATTCAAATGGATACTCTTACCTCTTGACCTGTGTAGATCGTTTCACTCGATGGCCAGAAGCAGTACCTATCAAGGACATCACTGCTGAAACAGTGGCCCGAACCTTCGTCGAACGATGGGTAGCAAACTTCGGTTGCCCTTCAACCATCACTACAGACCGCGGACGTCAGTTTGAGTCTGAACTTTTCCGTCGTCTGACCACACTATTAGGAAGCACTCGCTTCCGAACGACCGCCTACCACCCACAAGCAAAGGGGTTGGTAGAACGCTTTCACCGACAACTAAAAGCTTCACTATCAGCTGCAAACGTTTCACAGTGGACCGACGCTCTTCCACTCGTCTTACTAGGTATCCGCAATGCAGTGAAAGCTGACATTGGATACACTGCGGCTCAACTCGTTTATGGAACGACACTTCGACTTCCAGGAGAATGCGTGGATCCTTCATCCTCTTCAATGAGCATGGATCTAACCTCCTACACGAACAGGCTTACAAACGCAATGCGTTCAGTTAAACCTGCTTCCACTCGACCTCAATCAACTGATGTTTTCATTCAACCTGACTTACGATATAGTACACACGTTTTCGTTCGTCGAGACTCGCATCGACGACCTTTCGAATCGGCATACGAAGGACCTTTCAAAGTTCTTCAACGCGAACTGAAGTACTATATAATCGATAAGAACGGAATCAACGATAGCATCAGCATCGATCGCCTCAAAGCAGCGTATTTAGAAGGAAATCCTATCTACGTGGATTTTCCTTCGGTACAATTGAACGACACGACTCCGACACTTATAATACCTCATCCGACAACCAACACACACGATGATACTTCGACAGTATCCGAAAATAAACTTAAAACGACACGTTCTGGAAGAAGAGTGAGATTTCCAGAACATTTAAATGACTATTGCACGTAAGGCACTTCTCGACATTTTCTATATTATTAAAAAATAATTTTTTTTAAATAGGCTTATATATTTTCATTTCTATTTTTAAAAACAAAAACAACAAAAAAAACGATTTTTTTAACGCTGTTACGTTTCATGAGATTATTTTCCCTTTTTTACGCACATACGAGTGTATTTTCGACATGCACTTACATTTTCTTTCTTCTTTTCCAGGACGGCTGGAAAAGAACGATGACGTTTATGAGGATACGAAACTTTCATTGTACATTTCTTTTTTTACTATGTTGTACCCCGGTCCCATATAGTAAGGAAAGACGACCAGACGCTGCTAAATTTAGTAAGCTATCAGAAGAGTGTTTACCAACGACAAACTCGTTGGGTTTAAACTTCTGGCTGGCCACGTCTTAGGGTCATCACTGCCTCACTAGGGGGGGAGTGATCTGTAGCGGTAAATAAATCCCCAAACTAAATAGCTCAATAGGTTTTCGACATTGGACGCTGACCATATGTTTTAGTGGACTCGTCTAGCTGAAGGCGGTCGGTCATGCATCCGCACCAGATCACGTGCTGTCACGCTGTGCTCAACAACAACCGCAATCACTAGCCAGATTAGATCAGAGATTCCCGATATATTGGTTATCGCCAAATACACTCTTCCGATCTCCTCGACTCTGTCTTTTGATTTCTCTCGGTGGGAACAAAGCATATTAGAAGGTGTTATTGGTAGAAGCGTTGTCAAACACTGAATACCTGTATCATCCTCAGCAGCATCATCCCCGAAAAATGTAGCACCCCAACTTAGGTGTGTTACTTGCATATGGACTTGAATGTAGCGACATAAGGACCTGCATTGAAAGTAATTTTAGTTTGAGGCAGAATTTTACAGAAGAAATCTTACTGACATGCCAGAGACCATCGATTAAGCGATCGTCTCAAATTTGAGTTAGACATGACAAACTGTGGGTCATAAGAGATGCCACTAAATCAGCAGACACACAAGAATCAACTAGAATTGTGGTTTATGGAGCCTTTGAGCTAATAGGTGGTGGTCAGTAGGAAGCTAATGGTCAAAATTTACAACAAGGGCGTCAGGCGTCATTCAGTGAAGGCTTTCACATCACAACAGTAATTAATGTGTTCAGATAACTTCTCCCATTACAATCCACATCTGATTGGTGTGAACTCCAGATAATGATAGAACCTAAATCATGTCTTTCAGTGCTCATACAGCTAGTAGATCACTAACCTGTGTCGAACTCTAGTGCCAGTTGGAGGTTTGGGAGATATCCAACCGACTACCGGATACGTATTAAGAAGACTTAAATTTCTTCACCTAGGAGAGTCACAAAAATGCGAAAAATCCGAATTAAAATCCTGAAGCAGTGCACGAAAACCGGTGTGTGACCTATTCATGAGATCTAACAAACACGTACTCGCTCACGAATTACTATCTCTCTCTTGGACCGGGTGCTTTTGATGCATGTCTTATAAATGATCAACATTATAATCATCGCATAATTAGTAACTGCGTCCTATTTTTCTCTTAATCATCTCCGTTTCCCTCTTAATCTTTCAACTCCATCTTCCTATATGTAATCAATTATGTAAACTAAGTATCTACTCTTGAAACAACTATCTTCTCTTAAAGCTTGAATTATAGCCTTTCTATTTTCACACTGCAACTACCTCGCAATGTGATAGCTGCTGGCATCCAGAAACTTAAACGCTTTGAGCCAAACGCACTTACACAAACTACATGATATATGGACGCACATATGACAGGAATTAGTGAGCTCCAGCGGATAAACTATGATAGACTAAAGATTATTGCTAACAATTATTAGATACTCAAAACCATACCGAGACAGCAATAAGAAAATGCAATTATTTTATACAGGCTCTTGTTGAAGATATTGAATATTGGACTTTAAAGATGTGTTCACATTTATGAAAGTATGTGGATGTTATCGTTTTAAGATTAAGATGGTGTCCGAAGGGTCTCATAGACGCTACTTTGAGTAACTTTGATTCATTTAGTTAAGTATTATTTTTAGCCTTTTGAAAAAATCCACTCCTGATGGAAAGGTAATCCATAATTCAGATTGTAACCTAAATAGTTATCACTGTTCTTAGATCGCAGAACATTTATAGATCATTTCAGCCACGTCGATCCTGTAGGTGAGCCTATGATTTTTTAAAAAAATTTGTTACTTTGTGTACCTTGCTGCCTCAAGGAATTAATTTATTGAGTTGTTTTTGTCACAATGCTCAGTGCAGTTCTACTTGATAGTATAAATTAAAAAAACAATTTTACGACGACATATACCCGACTGTTCACAGTCAGTATGTTTTATCGGTATTATGGAGATGAACCTCATTTGGCACGGACATAGATGATGGAACTGTATATTTATATAACGTAATGAATATTTGGGTTTATACGGAATTAAAATTAATTACTGATCTTGAAAACATCTTTTCAGATTAAAATTTATTGATTAAAAATCTAGTAAGGATTGTATTGGACTCATTAGGAACTAAAAATACTTTTATGTATATGTACCTCCGTATATATTGTGAGATAAACTTATTCCTCTATTCTTGCTATATATTCCAATTTTCCTAAAGTTTTCATTGAAAGAATTTTTATTATTTTAGCAGTTATCATACAGCTTACTCTCTAAAAGTTGGAATTCATTTGTTGGTTGGTAATAAGTATGGGAAATAGAGCGAAATATGACGTGAAGCTTCTGGATATACTCGGTATTATTATACTCTGTTTGAGTCTACTGCCGTCTGGATCCATATTGATTTAAGAAAATTATTTAAGACCATGTCAAGTCTCAGAAATATATCAAATGCATTCGAAAGGTATTGAGAAACACATTATTGGTGGTATATTAGTCTTCACAACCTACTAGAACGTAGTTTATGTCTTTACACTCTAGCTCCAAGTAACTCCATTTCTCTTAAATTAAAAAAATGTGTCAAACTCCTTCTGTTAAAACCATTCTATTCTGACAGTTTATATTCCGGAACACTACATCTTGATATGAAAAACTGACTACGTTCTGAATGTGAAATTTTAGTGATCTCTAGAGTAGTTACATGTAAGGTGATACAGAATCTCACATACAGTATATATACCTTGACCAAGACTGAAGTTCGACTACGGGTTATCAGTTAACGTCACTCAAGTTGGATTGTTTGCAGTGGGATGTGTGCTGTCAAATACTTCTAGTTATCTTCCATCTGTACATTTTTAATTGTATGAACACAACCATGCTGTACATTTAGACGTCACTGACACTTAAAGGAACTTAGTTTTTATTAGCAGTGTGATTCTTTGTTTCAGCAGAGAAAGTTTTTATGATGGTCAAGTGATGCCTCCTAGTGTATAGAATTCTTCTGAGTTAAGATGCATTTTGGCTTAAGCTATGTAGTGCTTCCAGAAACTTATAGGTTTGTGTACATCTTTCAAGCACCCTCTGCTACTCTCAAAACACTTACTTTCGAAAGATATCAAGTGACTAATCAACCCTTCACATGATTCAACAATAAAAGGCCGGCTATGCTGCGAGGTCTGAATCGAGCATAACAATATAGGATAAAAAGGAGAAAGAACAAAGATTGTTGCAGAATAATATATTATTCATTTTATTTCATTAGGTTCTCATCAAAGGCTTAAAACCTACAATATTTGAAAATCAAAGTTATTACAGATATCGACATACTGATGAATACGACGGTGATTAGAGATGAATATGTGCATCATCAGATGGCAAAGATTATAATAGAGTTAATCAAGTCCTCAGAAATCTTGCTCCGGATAAATAAATGAAGTTTGGGAGGTGAAGTTCCAGAACATTGAAATAATGATTAGAACTCATGCAATTATGGAGTGATGAAGTAACTGAAAACGGATTAATGGTAACGATGAAATATATGAACTGAAATCAGTCGGTTATGAATTGAGGAAGAATGGCGATGGTGTGATGGGACTTCAGAGGGAGTTGAAATAATGAATGACTCAGTACATAAGTAGAATGTATTGTTGACAGGGAAAAGAAAGATTTGTTACTGATTCCTTATCGACTCATAGACTCTTCGGCTAAATTCAGAAGATTGGAGTTTGATTGTTTATTTAATCATCTAGGAAGACTACGGTGTATCGACTTGATGTAATGTGTCAAGGAGATGTCTTGAGATGAAACTGCGAAGTGCTTTTTCGTGGATACATGTGACTTTGTATATACAATTTGTGGTAACATGAATGGGATATCTATCGATCTTTGATTGCTTTAATGATTTTGTTTTAGAGAGGACAATCAATTTAGATTCAATATAGATTCTATTTTCACTCAATCCAAAATTTCATCTTCACTATCAGATTGCTATTAACTAACGAAAACAATAAGTTTTCTGAAAAGAAAATGAGCCTTGAAAAGTAGTGTATTAGTACTGAGTCGGTCTGTTATAAAACATTTGTAAAGGTTTTTTGGTTTTCAAAAAATGCTAGAGAAAGCCCACGGGTGTCCAAACATTTCCATGTTTTTGTGATATCGCATTTACCTTGCCAAGCCCTGATATTTTGATGTATTTTATGCCTTGGGGTGGTACTAAGACGGTATTACTTCCTAAATTAAATATTTTGTGAGGAAAGATAGTTTAAGAATTGTAAGTAGAATTTGTTTTGTCAAAACGTCGACGAATTAAGTTAAATAGTTCTGGTGTTTTGTCATTCAGACTCTTTTTTTAACAGAATAAACTTAATCCAAGCTATCGAGTGATTAAGTTTTACAGAAGTTTAGTTTAAATTAGCTTAACTACATTTCAGGTCACTGAAATACACAATTATAGTTTATTTAGAATCTCCCTCTTTAGTACAGTCAGGAAACTTATCCAAATATAGTCATAGTATCACGTTAAATTTCTTTTGCAATGTCACTCAAACACTTAAGAAACAACTCCTGTGAGTCAGTTTACTCGAATTAATGTGATTTGTTCTGAGGATTGAAACCGATATTAATTACAAACTGGGTAATATAAAACTTATTTTTGAACACTATGAGATACCCTTAACATCAATAAAACTAAGCCATCTGAATATTTATTTGTTTCAGTACGACTTAAATAAAAATTGTCTAAACAGTAATAATACTTGCAAATCGCTAAGATAAAAATGTAAATGTAAAGTGGTAGATAGCCCACCTTTGTTGATATATATATATATATATAGGTTTTCCATGAACTTATCAAGAACCATGTAAACAAACAAAACATATGAGAATTTAATAAATGAAAATGTATCATGGTGACTTCTAATAGATGTTAAATAAAATATGTCGTCTCTTGTTCAACTTTGGTAGATTTGATTCTGTGTAATTAAAAGAAAGGTTATGGCTAGTATTGGGGTCGTGAACTTGAGTTCCGTCATATTAGCGGCTCGTTAGTTGGTTGATGGTTACTGTCGAAATTCAGTGCCAGATACAATAAGTTGATGTAAAGAAGTCCGATTTTAAAATCCTCAGATTATTTCAGACAAATACCGATACTTTAACCAGACATGTTTTCAATCACCATATTAATGGAATGTATCGGGACATTACTACTTTTAAGCTTGTATCCTGGTATCTACAATTTGCTATGTCATAAACTATAATATTAGAATCAAAATAGAAAAATGAGATTTACTATAGAGTAAATTAGTCAATGACATTTACTAACTAACTAAGTAAATTATCAGTTTAGGGGTTGTGAAAATTGTTAAGTTATTGGTTGAGATCAAGAACTGATTGATGTTAAACCACCAGCAAAAACCTGAAAGCAACAGACAGCCGTTTTGTCCTACTGTGAGACTCCCCAGCAGTGCACATCCACGATCCTGCCCACGTGATTCGAACCCAGGGCCTTCAGTCCCGCGTGCGAACGCTTAACCCACTGTACCACTGAGCTGGCATCCAATGGTGTTATTGTTCACCAACTCATTTCACAATTCGTTTTTAAACAATATCATATGGCACCATAAGCCCGTCCTGTTTTGTCATTTCATACTTGAAAAAATCCATATGATATCCAATATTAAGTAAATGGAAGTAAATTGGCATTAGTACGTTTAAATCATACAAAACGTCTGTTATGGGATATATTCTTGAAAAATGAGCATTGAATTCTTGTAAAGCTTGTAAGAATTTCATCAAAATATTATGGGTTTTTTTCTACACTATCGCAGAATATATGCCGAATAGTTGTCAACATTTTCTGGAAAGTTATTTCTTAGATGAAAAAAACAAGAACATTCTGATTAATTTCAATATTTTTTAAAATATTTGGTTCAATCAGATAAGTCCTACGATTATGCTAAAACTTTTATTCACATTTCACTTATTTAGTCATTTTGTTAAATGATAGTTAAATACAATCAGTATACTAAGATAAAAAGTAGATGAAGTCAAATACCTTTAGTTTTTAAGATAACTTACACTATAAAACCGTAATTGTTTAGGGGAGAGCATTATGACCCAATGTACAAATAATTTGTATTAGCTTGAAATTCTTTATTAAGGGGACTGATAAAATTGAACTGAGAAGTGTCATACTCCATTTATGTTAGTTTGGTTTAATAAACAGATTTGATATGTTTTTATTACTTCAAGTATATTTCTAATTGCATATGTTTGGATGGGTTCGATTTACTAAGTAGCACTTTTATTTCTGGAAGTCTCTATTACTGGGCAGAGATGAGGAGAGAAAAATATGACTTCTAAACATAATTTGTTTATAAATTCACTTGGTTTTATTTACTTGTATCTTCCCATTGTTACTTAGGGCTGCAATTGATCAGTCTCTTGTTGGCATATGTGCATCCTATTCGGATTGCCTCGATATTGCCTTACGTCACAAGCCTTATGAGCAAAGATTTGTTTAATTTTTTTTAGTCTGTAAATATCAAACAATATTTATTAAAGTGTCGTCTTACGCTATTCTTATATATTTTAGATAGTATGACCTAGTTAAACTAAAGTTATCCTCTCTTCGTAAGAAAACTACATATGAAGTTGTCTAAACTCTTATCGGAAATGTTCCTATTGCATAGTAACTAGAATTTTTAAATCGGTTTAGATTGTAATCTTAGATTTAAACTTGAATATTTATGTGAGTTATTGGTTAAATCAAAA